TAGCCTACACTCCTGTTCATATTTATTGTTCTTAGGCCTTCAGCAAAAGGAAACTGTTCACTTACCTCACTAAAAGCAAAAACTAGTGGTATTACTATAGTTAGTTAATTCCACTTGGCCTGATAAGTGATTATACTGGGTGAATGCATACTGTAAATGTTTCATTTGGCTTTTCCTCTAACCTTGCTTATTGAAGATTCTTGTTGGAATGTAAAAGTTAATTGGTACATGGTGAACAAAATAGATGTTACTTTGGTCAGTGACCATGGTTCAACTCATAGGAAATCAACAACCTCGTAAAGAAATAATGACTGGTAGTTATTATAATGGTCGTTACTTTGGTTAACCTCAAATTAATTCACCATATCAGTTGCAGTTGACCCCATTTAAATTCATGCTCATTAAACCAGTCACAATATCAATTGGCTACCATAATGCGTAGCTGAGGGGAACAACATAGAACTTCACTGAAGGACACCTACATGAGAAAGAAAAACTAATATACTCGATAGGGATAGGTGGCTTTGGGTGGGAGGAGGTTTATGTGAAGCACAACCAAAATAATTTTGAATTCAAGAAAACTGTGTTCATAAAATGACGAATAGGAAACAAATGTCAAGGAAGGCCTTTTTTTTTTTAAATTCACAAACTGTAAACTGACATATTGCGGCCACAAATGGTCTAGACTTAAACAGGAAGTTAAAAGACAATGATAAGCGAAGCAAGTCTTCGCAAGTGTGAATCAATGCTTAAAAACAAACATTACCAGTAAATTTGATGCTAATTATTAAAATTTGGAAACTCATTTTGCCCAGTTGACTGAATGGCTTGCTTCAATGACTTGAAAAGCCCCAAACATGAATATTTGAGGTGTTAAGTGACAGGACATGTTCATATCCATATAGGTTTCCAGCTGGCTGTGGCATCACAACTTCCAGAAGGCTGTCGAAAAAGTAACAAACTTCCTCACCTCTACAATTCCAAGATATGATTATGCACTCCATTGTTTCAGATAAAAAGCCAAACAAGTGTTGATTAAAGTTTGTGGAAGACTCCAACCTTAAAAGTGAAATGGCAAAATTGATAAACCGTCTCCCCACTCGATCCCCCAATTAATTAGTTGAAGTCAGAAGGAAATCAGTCTCTAAATCATTGGTGTTTTAAACCTAAAAGTACAGGTAAGTGGTTGGGGCAATTGGTGAGAAAACAGCCTTTTTCCCCCTCTTCTGACAGGCATCGACCTAGAATAGTCAGAAGCCTGTCATTTTTAATAAAAACTCATTAACAAGAACTCTTATGTATGGCACTACTGTTAGAATACTAGTGCCCCAACAATGCATAGATCAGACAGGAGACCGGGCAGAGTTTGTCCATTTCCTTATTTTGTGCGTGGAATGAAGATAAAGCAAAATCATCAACTTCTTCTCAGATTACATAGTTATTTGTTTAAGTGAAAATCTACAATAAATGGAGTCACTATTTTCGAATCCAATTCATGCTCCTACTAGACTTCACCTTCCAAAAATATTTGCCAAGCTTACTAAGTAACTTGAGGCCAGAACTCAAAGAAAGGAAGATTTAAAGAATCAGAAATGTTTGCTGTTCAAAGAAGCAAAAGTGCCTTGACAGGAATTACTTTAGCATACAAGTCATGGATTACAAATCAATTAAATGCAACAAACCGAAACACCATTTCAACATCAGCACACAATCAATCAATCTGCCATTATCTGTTTAAAATATTAAAAATTAAAAATTGTAAATAAATATGTTTTAGTAGAGAAAAGCTTCAAATTTATCACAAGGCTTTATTATTTGAAATGTTTGAGGTTAGCTTTCAAAAATTCTCTATTTAAGGAAATTTAAGCACTTTTCACAATTCCTTTCTTTCTGACAATTATTGATCGGTCACAAGGGACAAAAAAAGCATCAATAGAGATAGGCTAGGAAATAAAATTCACAAAGGCAACAAAATTTAGCTACAGTAAAAGCACAAACTTCAAAAAGCACTGTGCTTTTTCACAATCCCACCAACAACACAAGATTGAATGTTATGCCACACATCACAGAATGGGGTCTTCAGAATAAATGGAAAGTAACATGCATGCTTCTAGTTGTATGTCTGTAACCTTGCATGAGAAAAGGAGAAAGCATGCATCGCCACCAAGACAATACTTTGGTAAGGAATTCCACTTTCTTTACCACTATTAAAAAGTAATGGGAGAAAAGCATTAGAACTATGGAAATCTTCCACAAATGATAATTGATGCTCGGTTAAATGTTAATTTTAGTCAACAAAAGTCTTTCAGTCTCCAATGTGAAGGCAGTAGCAGTAGTTATAATAAAAACAACAATAAAACACACGTGGGTATGTGGTGTTATGTTGGGATCAGTTAGCCCAGATGGCTGGATGTCTAGTTTGGGATGAAGAGTAATGTTAGCAGTACCAGCCCAATTACCTTACTGGCTGAGGGTACAACAAAGGAGCTGCTTCTCAACCTCATTTCTCACTTGAGGTGCAGTGATCCTCTGGTTAAACTCAACATCAGTCTCTCTCTCTCTGAGAAAGCAGCTCTTGGACTATAACAACTTTACCTTTACTTCACATGATGTTAGGTCACGGAATCAGCTGTGATACTATCCAACTGCAAGGCATGAAATCCTAGTATGACGGAAACTCTGTAGCTAGACACTTCTAAAATCAACTAAGGATGAAATCAATGGTCTACTGCTCTTCAAATAAAAAAATCCTAAACAAATTACTATGTTGTTGTCTCCTAAATCCATGTCCATCCTTCTCTCAACTCCATTTTTGAATATCTGATCAGGTTTCTGCCCCTAAAACATTGAAATACTTGAAATCAAAGTCAGAAATGAAATCCTCTCTGACTGTGACTAATGACACCTTCTCCTTTCTCATGCCCCACAGTCACTCTATCGTTACCTTACTTGAGCTTTACATTCCCTTTCATAAACCAGCAACGTCTCACTAGTTCAGGGCATCAATAACGAACCCAGGGTTTTCCTCATCAATAGTTCACTTCCAGCAGGAACTGTTTGATAACAAATCAGGAAGAATCTGCTTAGTCAGTTGCCATGCCCCTATCATTATCTCACCAGAGATCAGCGAATTCAGCACAAACCAAGGTCTGATTCTGGCTCAATTACTCACTGGATGACCTGATGTGGAGATCTTCCAATTTTTATTTAGTTCTATTCATTCCTGGGAATGTGAACATCACTGGCAAGGCCAACATTCATCCCCAATTGCCCTTGTTGATAGTGAGCTGCCTTCTTAAACCATTTGCTATAAGTGGGCCCACATGGCATTGGGAAAGGAGTTCGAGGATTTCAATCCAGCAACACTGAAGGAACTGTGCTACCTTTCCAAATAAGGACAGCGAGTAGCTTGGAAAGGAACTTACGAATAGTGGCGTTTCCATGTATCGGTCAACAGGGTCACTCTAAATGATCGTGACCATTGTTTTGGAGGGTGATGTCTAAGGAACCCTGAATTTCTTCAGTCATCTTGTAGATGGCACACACACACACACAGCTGCTACTGAGCATCAGTGGTGGAGGGAGTGGATGTTTGTGAACGTGGTGCCAACCAAGCAGGCTCTTTGTTCTAGATTGTGTCAAGCTTCTTGAGTATTGTTGGAGATTTTTTTTCTTTACTCATTCATGGGATGATGGTGTCACTGATTGCCCATCCTTAATTGCCTAGAGGGCAGTTGAGAGTCAACCACGTTGCTGTGGGTCTAGAGTCACGCGCAGGCCAGACCAGGTAAGGATGGCAGTTTCCTTCCTTAAAGCGCAAGTAAACCAGATGGGTTTTTCCCAACAATCGACAATGGATTCACGGTCATCATTTAGATTCTTAATTCCAGATATTTTATTGAATTCAAATTCCACCCAGAGTCCCTCGAACTTTATCTAGGTCTCTGGATTAACAGTCCAGCGACAATACCACTAGGCCGTTGCTTTCCTGTGGGTTGCACTCATCCAGGCAAGCAGGGAATATTCCATCACACTCCTGACTTGTGCCTTGCAGATAGTGGTCAGGCACTGAGGAGTCAGGAAGCGAGTTACTTGCCGTAGGATTCCTTGCCTCTGACCTGTTCTTTTAGCCACTGTATTTAAATGGCTAGTTCAGTTCACTTTCTGAACTCGGGTAGGCCCCAGGATGTTGATAGTGGGGGATTCAGTGATGGGAATGCTCTTGAATATCAAGGGGCAATGGCTAGATTCTCTCGTTAGAGATGATTATTGCTATTTGTCAATCCGAACCAGATAAAAACTGAAAGAACTGTGGATGCCGTAAATCAGGAACAAAAACAGAAGTTGCTGAAAAACCCTCGGCAGGTCTGACAGCATCTGTGAAGAAAAAAAAAAAAAATCAAAGTTAACATTTCGGGTCCGGTGACCCTTTCTCAGAACACTGGTGCTGCTAAACCTGCTGAGCTTTTCCATCAACTTCTGTTCTTGTTCCACATATTGTCCAGGTCTTGCTGCATTTGGTCATGGACTGCTTTAGCATCTGGAGGACTGACATTGTACAGTCAGCGATCATCCCACTTCTGACTTTAGTGTAGAAGGAAGGTCATTGATGAAGCAGCTAAAATGACAGGATTTTGGATACCACCCAGAGAAACTCCTGCAGAGAAGTCTGCTAAAACATCTGAATTACATTTACATGATTTCATTAAAAATGGTTTACTTTCTTCTGACAATATTTTCACAATCTAGACTTTTCTTTTAATGCAAAGACAGATAGGCACCATTCAATTTCTTCAATTGCACCTTTTCAACTCTTTTGATGATATATATGCATTGCACTACTAACCCAGTATGCAAAATATTGAGCATTCATTACTGTTTTTAAAAAAGTAATATGTTCACAAAGGTAACATTTCAAGTCAAAAGTCACTTGCTGCTTCATTAACCTAAAACACGAATATACAAAATCTAACCACAGGGTGAAAAAAAAAAATACAAACCTTTGGTATTGATGGAGAGCTAGTCATTGGAGTCGGGAAAAGCTACAACAGGCCAGAAGCAGCAAAGAAGCAGAAGGAGAATATTAAAAGATTAGAGATGATACAAGAATTATACACATTACTTGCAAATGGACAATTTTTCAGGCCACTAAAACTGAACGAGTATGCGACAGGATAGTTGGTAAGTAGATGTTTCTCACCCTAATCCACAGACAGTGTCACAATAAGACAAGGTTCAGGTTCTTGTTGCCACTGTCAAAACTAATCATTAATCTAAAATCTCAGAAATTAGCTGGAAAATGAAAACAGCCAGAATGAATTTCATTAAAACTTTTGAAATGTTTTACATTTTCAAAGTTTTTCTTTGCTGTTACAATGCCTCCTTTGCAAATAATAGTTTTCCATCAATTACATCACTTCTAAAAACTGGGTTAAAAGAATATATTAATGTGCTATATTTGGACTCTTAGGAACTCAATTTTTAAACTTAGTTATGTTCAAGAGCCAAATTTTGCTAAAAATACTTTTTTTGAACCATGCAGTTGCTGCGAAACCTGGGAAAGATAAATCTGTTTTCTAAAGTTCAGTGATTAAAATGCACGAAAGAACAGTGCATTTGACTGGCAATTTAGTGGCAAATAACACTACGGCAGGGCAAATCACAATTCACAAGGCTGCATCAATTACATTTCCTCCATTTTATGCAAATTAACAGGTAAAACATATTCCAGAACCTACCTACAAAGAATGTGTCAGAACATCAATACTATCAAACACTAGCTCCATTTCAATGAGAGACAGCTTAACCCCATGCTCCAGGGCAGCAGACAAGATTTGTCTTGTACTGCAGGTTAATATTCATGAAGATAATTGGAATATTGTTGCACATGCTGTATTCTTACTTACTGCTAAAGGTAATTATATAATAATCATTTAAAAAAAAACTACTTCCTGAGAACAGCTTGTTGGGCACATTTAAATTAATCAAATAGATGGAATTTGGTAAGATAATTGATAGCTCAATTGCCATGCCTTTCACAACTTCAATATAAGAATATGTGGGTTCCTTTGTGGGACTAAAAGAAAAATCACACATCAAAGGACGTCTTCATTAGGCACTACAGGAATTTTTGACAATATTTTGGAATGCGTGTTGGGAATAGTTCAAACGCCAAGACCTTTGATCTAGTTCTCAGAATTTCTTCCTTTTACTTTTAAGTGTTGCTTCATGTTCCTGACATTGCATTCCTGTTAAATGCTTTCCTTTGTGGAATTATCTTTGGTTGTCAATGACATTGTTTGTCAGCCTTTTAAACATTAGTTACCAAACACAACTGATATGTAACTAAATTTAAGGATTATCATACGAAAGTTCAAAACAAAAAAGTCAACCAAGCCAAGCAATTCAGAAAAAAATAATGTTTTTTGCAATGTCTAAGGTTTTACAAAGAATACCCAAATTCTAAGTTCGACCATCAATGGGAGTTAGATAGTAATCCAGCTACCCGACAAGTGATATCCATTGCAACTGAATTGAATAGACATACTTACTGAATGCTTCAAAGAATCCTGCTCCGAATTAATACTGAACACTGAAAGGTCCCCATTCAAGATCACATCAGCTAAAGCATTTACCAATGGCCTGTAGTGTATAATTAAAAACACCTAAGAGGAAAAAGAAGTTTAAAATTAACTGTGTTTCAGTTTTTAAAAATTGTGTAACTGGCAGTTGTGACAAAATGATTAAGATTATATTTTTATTTTTTAATTATAATTATATTTATAATTATATATTATAAGGGTTAAGAAATCTTCATTTCACGAATGCTGATGCTTTGGGGGCTGCCACTTAGCCCTTTTGAAAAATCCAAATGTTTTACATCACTATAGAGTAACAATTTCAAGAATAAAAGTTTCCTTGACATACATTGCACGGTATATAAACAATGTATACACAAGCCTTGTTTCTAAAAGTACACAATAAATCAAAAGCTGATATATTTGGTATATCTGGAAGGTAAGGCTGTGCACAATAGGATTTTTAATTTCAGTAATAACACTAAGTAACTCACTCTTTCATGGGACGAGTTTGTCACTGGCATGGCCAGTATTTGCCCCTAAATGCAATAGCTTCCCAGGCCATTTCATAGGGCAGTTAAGAGCCAACCACATTGACAGGTGATTATAATCCCATGGCAACCAGCCCAGGTAAAGATGGCAAATTTCCTTCTTTAAAAAAGGACATCAGTGAACATGGGGGGCTTTTACCATGATTAGTGACAATTTCATGATTACCACAGCTGGGATGAGCTTCCAATTCTAGACTTATCTGTGAATGAAATATAAATTCCACCAGCTGCAATGGTGGGTTTAAAACACAAGGTCCTAAAGAATTACTTTTGGCCTCTAAGACCAGCGCAAGTTTTAAGTTGGAGTAAGGCAGATTTTGACTATAGTAGGCAGGAATTTTCAAAAAGTTGCTTGAGGAAGGCAGTTCACAGGTAAAGGGCCAGTTGGAAAGTGGGAGGCCTTTAGAAGTGAGAATTCCTAGACAGTATGTTTCTGTTAGTGCAAAAGTTCTGCATGGTAGAGTGGTTAGCAAGGTATCACATGGAATCCAGGGGAGCTAGCCAATTGGATATATAATTGGCTTGAAAGCAGGAGACAGAGGGTTGTTTTTTTAGTTTGGAGGCCGTGACCAGTAGCGTACTGCAAGGATCAGTACTGGATCCACTGCTTTTTGTCATTTATATAAATGATTTGGATTTGGATATAGGACGTATGGTTAGTAAGTTTGCAGGTGACACCAAAATAAGTGGTGCAGTGGACGGTGAAGAAGATTATCAGAGTACAACGGGACCTTGATCAGTTGGGCCAATGGACATAGGAGTGGTAGACAGAGTTTAATTTAGATAAACGCGAGGTGTTGCCTTTGGATATGGCACACCAGGGCAGGCCTTATACAGTTAATGGTAGGACCCTGATGAGTGCTGCCAATGGGTATTGGTGCATAGTTCCTTGAAAATGGAGTTGCAGGTAGACAGGGTGATAAGAAAGGTGTTTGGTACGCCTGCCTTCATTGGTCAGAGCATCGAGTGTCGGAGTTGGGGCGTCATGTTGCAGCTATTCACGAAATGAGGAACTTGTAGAATACTGCACACAATTCTGGTCACCCTGCTATAGAAAAGATGTTGCTAAACTTGAAAGGATTCAGAAAAGATTTACAATGATGTTGCCGGACTGGAAGTTTGAGCTATATAGAGGGGCTGAATAGGCTGGGGTTTTTTATCATCTTAAGTCTTGGAGGCTGAGGGGTGACATTATAGAGATCTATTAAATCGTGAGGGGGATGGATAGGGTAAATAGCCAAGGTCTTTTTCCCAGGATAGGGGAATCCAAAACTGGAGGGCACTGGTTTAAGATCGAAAAAATGTTCAAAAGATTTAAAACTTTTTCACGCAAAAGGTGATGCGTGTATCAAACGAGCTGCCAGAAGTGGTGGTGGAGGTGGGTACTGTTACAACATTTAAAAGGCATCTGGATGGGTATTGAATAGGAAGGGTTTAGAGGGACATAGTTCCATTTACCAGCATTTGGCCTACGTCAGATTGGGATGTCTGGTTGGTGCAGATGAGCTGGACCGAAGCTCTGCTTCTGTGCTGTATGACTATTACACTGCCACTTCACCACAGTCTCCCCATTTATGGTTATTTACCAAGCCAAAGGATATTGCTTCTGTTGTAAGAGAATTACTGGCTTATAATTACTTTTTTTAAATGAGCATAGGGATTATCAAGGGCCACAAAAATGCAATTCTATTCTCACTCATTGACCAGTATCTGATCATATTTATTGCCATGTTAATCAAATACTTGATCAGATGCAAATAGGTACATCATGGATATGGGTTAACATAAATGAAATATTATTATTTTGTATTTTTTAAACTTATGTTTCAAATTATGCTATCCTACCTCGTATAGTTAATACGTGATTCCAAACTCAACAATGTGTTTGGATCCTACCTACGCTCTAAAAAAAAACCTAGTAAACCACTCATTTCATGGGCAGTAAAGGACTGGAGGCAAATGTTGCCTTTTTGCATGATTCCATCGTCCCATGCAGGTATTTAAAAACAATTACTTTTATACTTGGAGACAATTTAGGACAACAGACCAGGATTAAAATTCATGCAGCGTATAGTTGCTAATATTTAGCGTATATAACCTTTCCTGTTAATTAATGGCATTTTATTTGTCAAAAAGATAAAATGCTTTTGGTACAGAAAAACACATCACAAGGCACTTCACTTTACAGCAGCCTAATTAGAGAAAAATATATGCAGAGTCAAAGCAGATATTAGCAGAAGTGACCAAAAGCTTGATTTAGTGAGGACTTGGGGCCAGATCTGCCTAGCGTCCTTGCATATATTGAGCCCAATGGGCAGCCTCAGAATTGTAAACAACATTTTCTATTAATATCCATTCCACCACTGGCACAGCCACTGGTGGACAAGCAATAATTTATTATTGGGTTGTCATTAATCAAACGAACATGCATTTGCAAGATCTTCTCCATCATTAGTAGCATTCATTAAAGAAAAGCTACACTCAATTCCCTTGCCCGACCTCTGATTGCAGGTTAAAATTCCACTGTGGCTAAGCCACTAAGCTCATATTGAGATGGCAAACTAGATAACTGCACCAGAGGACCGCGACTAAGAAGTGGAGGCTAAAAATAGGAACTGAGACATTATACTATACATAGGTTTCTGGACATACTGCTTTTTGACAGAATTGCTTATATTTCCAGTAATATAAAACCTCATTTTAATACTTCCGTTTTAAAATACTGAACTTAACACAAAAAAAATTACGCCAGTTTCAGCAAAGAGCTTCCTCAATTGCTTAGTATGTCTGTGCCATCTGTTAGGTGCAATTCATCCAGGAGGTGCTCCAGATTCAATCCCTATCCCATGCTGAAGTGACTTGTATTTTTGGCAAACTAAGGGGACTACATGAATTCGAACACTTGGCAAAACAAAAGAGTGGGAATTGCAAGCAGTAAAATGAACATTTATGTCCCAGACAAAGGTGAGATGGGAATTCAACCAGGACCCTGTTTCTTGAGTAATGCAGAAAAATAAAGACATTGTGTCATAACCCAGTCCTGTACAAACAAATGACTCATTTCTGTTCACTATCTAGTTCTCTCTCAGGAAATTGTTTCTCAGCTAACTTACAGTACCTGCTAAGTAATACTCCAGTGCTCTCAGGTACTGAATGATTCTTAATTTGGATGAGGACCTTTAGCAGTTTCAGATGTTCTGGACTTATCCCTATATAATTTTCAAATGACTAATTTGCTCACCCAAGATTAAAGAAACTGTCAGTCATCCATCCAAACTCTGCTGCTGGCATTTTCATATAAAACCACTTTACTCACCATCCCCGTGATGCTTGGCCGACATGAAAAACTCCCAATTTGAAAATAAAACAAAGATGAGAATTTTAAAATTGAGCTCAAATCCCTCATGGCTTGGCCTTTCTCTCCCTCAATCCTCTCCAATCCCACAAAACCAAAACATTTGTGCTGCTCTCATTCTGAGCACTCAAGAATTTCCAAGTGCAATTAGTTGCCACTTTGAGTTTCCGAATCCCTAAGCTGTGAAAGTCCTTAGCAAACCTCTGCATCCTCTACCTCTCAGAATCCCTACAGTACAGGAAGAGGCCATTCAGCCCATCTAGTCTTCACTGACACTCCAAACAGTATTCCACCCAGACCCAGCCCATCCTCTTAACCCCACATAGGGTTTCTAAACTATGCGTAACTTACCTAACCAGCACATCCCTGGGCAGTATGGGCAATTTAGCATGGCAAATTCCCCTAACCTGCACATCTTTCAACTGTGGGCAGAAACCAGAACACCAGGAGGAAACCCACACAGACATGGGAGAATGTCTGTCTGTGTGAAGTTTGCACAGTCATTCAAAGCTGGAACCAAACCGAGGTCCCTGGTGCTGTAAGGCAGCAGTGCTAACCACTCTATGTTCTCTTTTGAGTCATTCATTAAAACATACCACTTCAACCAAACTTTACTAGGTTATCTCCCCTGAAAAATAGTGATTCAGTGTCACATTTTGTTTTATTTCGAGGCCCAAACAGCGTGAGAATGAGATCTGACCCCACGGTGACCTGACATCGATGAGGTCCGACCAGACTGATTGCAAGACCCCCTGGATCGCTCAAGGCCACGACTGGTGCCCAGGACCCCATCAGGAGCACTCACTTACCTTGCAGACACTGGACCCACAAGCCCAGAGAGATTGAAGGCCTTCCGGCCTCTCACATGCCCCACCTTGTGGAAACCTGGAAACAAGACCTAACCCTGCGGTGACCTGACATCAAAGAGGCCCAACCAGACCGATTGAAAGACCCTCTGGAATGCTCAAGATCTCATTGATGCACTGATTTACCTTCTGGAGCAGCAGATGTCCCCTCACCAATGCCCAAGATTGACCAGACCATCCACAAGAAGCTCTGGAGTGTTCAAAGCTGCAACTGGTGCACAGACCCCATCAGGATCATTCACTTACCTCTAGGAGTAGCTGACTTAACTCACTGACACCCAGGATTGACCAGGAGCAGCCACCTACCCAGGAAGTGTGGGAAACGCAGTGGATTTCAGGTGAGACCGAAACTCTAAGGTTGCAAGCACCCCCTTCCCCATATTCCTGCCAAGTTAGACTCACCTGGACCTAGAAAATTTAACAGCGAAATGCTGGCTCTCCTATTTGCTATGCAAGTTCACATCCACTATCCTGACAGCGGTCTACATCCTACCCCATGCAGAAGTGAACGATGCAGTTGATGAAGCATACAACACCAGAAAAGACAGAATACCCCAAAGCCTTTTTCATTGTAGCCTGTGACTTCAACCAAGCCAACCTCGAGAATGTGCTACCAAAATACCATCAACATGTCTCCTGTACCACCAGAGGTCTGAACATCCTTGACCATCACTGTAGACCCATAAAAGATGCCTACTGCTCCAATCCCCTTCTGCATTTTGGAAAATCAGATCTCCTCCTCCCAGCTTACAAGCAAAAATTGAAATGCGAGAACCCAGTACTAAAAGTAGTGGAGGTCTGAGGCAATGGAAAGGCTTCTACAGGACTGCTTAGAGTCAGTGGACTGGTCCATATTCAAGAACTCAGCTGCCAACCTAAATGGAGTATGGCACTACCATTACAGACTTCATTACTAACTGTCTAGATAACTGCGTGCCAAAAGAAGTTAATCCAAATGTTCCCCAACTAGAAACCATGGATGAACCAGGAGTTCCACTCCCTAATGAAGTCCAGGCAACCCTGACCTATACAGGAAATCGAGGCACAACTTTCTCAAGGTCAGAGTGCTAAGAAGCAATACCAAACTGAGCTTGAGATCCAGACTAACCACATGAACACCCATCTTTTGTGGCTAGGCTCATGTTATATAGTGGGTCACAAAGTGAAATTGAACAGAATCGTGAGCAATACTACATCCTTACTCAATAAGCTCAATGAATTCCATGATCACTTTGAACAGAAGGTCAGTGGGACAATGTCACCTGTCCCATCAGCCTCAGATGCACCTGTACCTTTGGCAACCACAAATATTAAATTGACCTTCTTAACGGGTGAACCCATGGAAAGCGACTGGCCTGGATTGAGCCCCCCACCACGCACTTGGATCCTGTGTGGACCAGCTGGCAGGAGTATTCACAGACATGTTTAAACCTCTCCTTACTACAATCTGGAGTCCACACCTCCATCAAGACCACCATCATCCCAGTGCACCTTAATGACTACTGCCCATTGGCTCTGACCTCCATAATTATGAAAAGCTTCAAGAGATGAGTCATGGTTCACATCAATTCCAGCCAACCAAACTGCCTTAATCCCTTGCAATTTGCCTACCAGCGCAACAGATCCATCACAAATGCTATCTCCCTGGCCCTACACTCATCCCTGGAACATCTGGATAACAAGGATACCTACGTCAGGCTCCGACTTATTGACTGCTGCTCCACCTTCAACACCACAATTCCAAACAAACCATCTCCAGACTCTGGGACTTAGGTCTCCACTCCCCTCTCTGTAACTGGCTTCTCAACTTCCTGACCAACAGACTGCAGTCAGCGAGGATAGGTGACAACACCCTCCTCCATGATAATCCCCACAAGGCTGCGTACTCAGCTGCCTACTACGCTCCTTATACACTCAACTGTGGGGGAAAATTCCACACCAACTCCATTTACAAGTTTACTGACGACACCACCATTGTCTGTCAGATCTCAAACAACGACAAGATGGAGTACAGCAAGAAGAGTGCTTATTGGCATGGTGTAAAGACAACAAGCTATAACATTGTGTCCTGCACTCTTCTGTTACCATGATGCACTTATATATACACAATCCGCCTGTAAAGCACGTAAGACAATACTTTTCACTGTACCTCAGTACTCGTGACAGTAATAAATCAAATCAAACATAATGCTTTTCATTCAAGGTATCATATAAATTTCAAGATCTAATAACTGTTTTTAAAGTCATAAAAACGCCCCGCGTGAAATTTCCCTATTAAAGACGGGATGAAATGTACTCTTGACATCAGCTCTTTGGCTGTTCCATCTGATGCATTGAGGGGTCATCATAACCAAAGCTGGCTGAATGGATGTGGGCACTGGGCACATGCATTTCAGGTCATATTCCACCCGATGCTCTGATGGCTGTAAATTGTCCCATGGTCCTATTGAGAATGTAGCTTTCTCCAAAGGCTATAGATAAACAGGATATCTGCATAGTGACTAATTACACTGACATGTAAAGCAAACCCATTAGTCATGATCATACTTACATCTTTCAGCTTGATAGCTGAAATTCACAACAAGCTGCAAAATGGAATTGAGGGTGCGAATTTGCCAAATAGCAAGATCCTGATTTCGGGTGACCAGCATGCAAAAACACTTAAGTGAACTTCAGATATTTCTCAAAAACTAGAGAATAAATGAAGCCAGAACAGTGACTGGGTTAAGAGAGTGCAGAAAGCAATGGTTTACTGTGGTTACAGACACTTAAATGTTAGGGATTTGGTAGTGGTGCAGGACATGGGGGAGGGAGAAGAGCACACGTGAAAGAAAGTGAGCACATTCCAGAGCAAGACAGCGCATGCAAGAATGTAGCTTTAAAAAAAGGGAGGCAAAAGATATTTTTTTTATTCATTCACAGGATGAGGGCGTACCTGACTAGGCTAGCATTTACTCCCCATTTGAGAGGGCAGTTAAGAGTCAATCACATTACTTTGGATCTGGAGTCCAGATCAGGTAAAGATGGCAGTTTCCTTCAATTAAGGACATAAAACCAGATGGGTTTTTCTGACAAATCAACAATGTTGGACTCAATCCAGATTTTTATTTAATTCAAATTCCACCATTTGCCATGGCAGGATTTGAACCTGGGACCCCAGAACATTAGCTGTGTCCAGTGGATTAACAGTCCAGCGATAATACCACTAGGTCATCACCACCCATGCAAATAATAACTATTAAAAAGTTGGGTTTCATTAGGATTTACTTTTCTCAAATCACTTCACATTTAAATATGGCACTGATTAAGCTCAAATAAGGACACACCTACATGTTGTTCTCAATTCTCAAACATATGACCAATATTAGGTGCAACATCTATCTTGCATAGCAAAGAGGCAAGGGAAATGACAATTATTAAACATAGCATCACATCAGCTAAGTTTCCTTCCATCATCAAACAAGCTAATTTTGAAAAATTTCAAATCAACAGACCATATACATTTCCTTTATATTTCAAACTCTAATTATTGCGGCTTATACAGATAACTTTATATTCAATGCAATCACGAGGCCTCACTGCGACTGATTTCAGCAGGTTCAAAATCAACTCTTTAAATGACAAATTATTAGGCTACGTTTTGCATACCTGTGAAAGGAGATATAACGATGCCTGACGACTGATTTTTGGATGATCGTCACACTGAGGAACAAACAACATTGCAAGTTAACAACATTGTTTTACAGATCATCAATTTTAAATCATCTAAAAAAAACATTTATCACAAAGAATATAAATACTACAGCCTAAAAATATCATTTTCATTTTAACATCAGATGTGTCCTTGATTTGAAAACCCCAAACATACATTAATTCTACCGTTCCTACAGAAAGGGCCTTGCAGACAGACATACACACTTGCCTGTTCCTCTTATTAGCTGATGTAGAGAACCTCATTATTTTTCTCTTTTTTTTGGTGGTAACGCGAGTTGACGTCAACGCGAGTTGAAGTCAGAACTGTTACATATTTTAAAAGAAGAAAACAAATGCAGATGTTTGATGTTGGGGTAATTGGCCTGAAGGACAATGCAACTTGATCACCACTCTAAAAGAACACTGTAGATAATTCTATATCAAGTGTTGCTATGCTCAGGGCTGGCAGCTGGTTTGAAGCTTGAGTTGGCCAATCGAGGAAGGGCTAGTACTAATCATCCAACCAAAGAAAATACTGATTAAAAGGAAGAAAACAGAAAAACACTTCTGACTGGTTTTGCCAAGTCCAGTGTGATTTTGGAAACTTTGGGACTGGCTGCTGTGTTTTACTCTCTCTAGTTTTACATGCAATTAGATAATTGTTGAACGCTCTGAGAAAAGAATTTCACCCTGTAAGAAATAAGGAAATATCTTCAGAAGTCTACTGAAACTGTTCACATTCACCAGTTACATGCCTGTCAACAAATCATTATCCAAGGATTGCATGAAGGCCTGACATCCATCATTTGAAACTGTTTAACTGAACTTACAAATTACAATTCTTTTATTTTCTTTATTTTTTAAGGAAAATTTATCCCTAAACTGTGTCTGTCTGTCCATGACAGTGGGGGCTACAATAAAAAAAAAGTTTAAATCATAAATATTAGATTACCTTGTTGTTTAGCTTTGGCCTGCCATAATTGTTGTAGCAGCCCATGGCTAACTTGACAAGACAGTCACTTGGGCTTTTTTAGCTAACACAAGGCGGCCGAAAGGGTTTGACAGTTACGTACAGATGTTCACAGCTAGACTTGTAGTCTCCATATAGATATACTGGATAAGATAAGATTCTCCATATCAAGAAACATTAGGAAAGTTAATCTGTAAAGCAGGCAGTTCTAAACATTAGCATTCTAATAAGGGGCATGATTGTAAGGCCTAGTTCAGCCACAGTCTCAAGCTTGTTACTGAGAAAAAAGTAGAAGGAAAAGTCTGATCCTACAGTATTTTGAACTGTTTAGGTAATAGTAGAATTATAAAGGCAAATGATAAATTAGTGTGAAAAAGTTACTTGCATTCCTTCAGCAAATATTTCTAGGCAATTAAGAGGGCCAATGCATTATTAGGGAAGATAAAGTAATAAATGGTGTAAACACGGCCAAATAAAAACCACTGGCCAGGTTGTAAAAAGAGAGGTCATGACAGAGAGATAAACAATTGAAACTGAAGTGCAGATATAGACAATTCAAACAAATTCTTACATCCAAAATAGATTACAAAATACAGAACGATGAGATAACAAGGTGTAGAGCTGGATGAACACAGCAGGCCAAGCAGCATCAGAGGAACAGGAAGGCTGATGTTTTGGGCCTAGACCCTTCTTCAGAAAAAATGATGATGATGAAAAAAATGATACAGAATGATGATGTTGCTGTCCCCTGATTGTGGAATCTGAATAAGTTTCATTTAACGGCTTGGTTGAGTTGTAAAATGATAGAATTTCACCCTCGTCAGTGAAGTTCAAGCGGATGCTTTTTATTAAGCAAAGATAATTAGTAATGGAAAATGTTTAGAGTGGAAATAGTAAACCTTTATTCTAAAATGAAACTTCAGTTTAGAATCCACTTACAGCATGTAAATAGCAGGAGTCGTAAACTGCAGTTGCAAGTAAGAGGGAATGTTGTTTGATCTCTCAGACTGAGGTGAAAGAGGGATTGCTCTCAATTTGTCAGCTGTGTCACAGTGACTTTATATTAGAGACAAGTTTAAAAACTTTATAACTACTGGTAGAAATTAATATCTTTCCTGATCTGCCATACTATAGGACAGAATTTGGAAGAGTTCTTAGTGAAAAGCAACTCTTTAGGTTATTGGTAAATAATGCAGTGCAGCTGGCAAATGTCAAGGAATGACTAAAACTGTCAGAAGCATTGTAAAATCCCAAAGATAGATGACGCGGGTATCTAGTAAACATCATGAGATTATGGGAGGACCAGGAGCTATCCATAGTTGTCCATCATTGATCACGTGTTCACTGGATTGGACGCATAGATTAGAGGGAAGTGGCTAACAATGACATCAATGTTGCATAGAATCATTGTCACGCGAAGGGTATAAAAATGTTGTATTTTGCTGGGGAATTCCGCGTCATCGATCTCCGATCTGAGCTGAATATTAAGAGGGCAACTGCATCTTGCATGAACGCCAGATTTGGGGTGGTCTCTGGCCTTTCCTAAATATGTAGTATTAAAGCTCTGAATAAAAGGTCACGTGCTAAGGAACACAAGACACAAGACTCCTCTGATATTTCTCCCTACAACAATAATACAGTTAATTTTTTATTTTCGTTATAAACTTGCCATCCGAAGTCTGTTGCTCATAAAATCTGGTTAGGAACAATTGGGGATCATCAAATATTTTAATTTCACTGCGTTGCAAATCCAGCGATAATGAGGCTGATTTAGTCTGGCTTGCTATCTTGGTGTCGTAACACTGACTAAAGCAAACCTTTTGATGAACAGCAGTAGAAAATGTACAGCAATATTTCAATGGTACGACAATGCAATACAGAAATATTCCACTTTCACTTCAAGAGCAACATGAGTTTTCAACTGAAAATGTTGATTTCAAGTAGACAACTTATTTTTTAATTCGAGATGAAAATTTTAATACCCTGCTTACCCTTAAAAATTGAGAAAACTCAAAAACCGCAAGCTATATTGCAACTGCAAAGCAAACTGAAGATGATAGGATTTCAGAGATAGTAGGAACTGCAGATGCTAGAGAATCTGAGATAACAAAGTGTAGAGCTAGATGAATAGCAGGCCAAGCAGCATTACAGGAGCAGGAAGGCCTAGACTCTTCTTCAGAAACGTCAGCCTTCCAGCTCCTCTGATGCTGCTTGGCCTGCTGTGTTCATCCAGCTCTACACCTTGTTATTATGATAGGATTTCAGGTCAGTTCCTCAGTTTAAGAATGGAAACTGAAGTAGATTACTGTATGCATCAAGTCTGCAATTTATGCAGTAATCCTTTGGATGAAAGATTTGGAGATAAGAATATTGCAAGGTATTTGCATATTCAGAGCTGTAAAAAAAAGTGCTCAGCAAAATTTAAATGAATAAATAAAAGCAAAACTATGTTCCAAGAATTTTAAACAAACAAGAACTATAGTAGACACACAGAAGTCAGAAGAACATTTTAACAAACAACTGTCCAGAAAGCTCAAAATGCAACTAGCCAGCTGCATCTTACAGCTAAACAGTCCAAGTGGGCATGAATTGTTTTTGAGTGATAACTTCCTAGAGTTGTTGACTTTAGCCTTTGATCAAAGAATCTGCAGTATTATTAAAACGGATGAATCATAACTTGGTGCAAAACATTCAAGTAAAATCTTACACCATTTTTTCCTCCTCAGGGGATGAGAACTGACAGCAAGGCAAGAATTTGTTACTTATTCACAATTGCCCTTGACAAGAAAATCATTTTCTGAATCACTGCAGTTCATTTGGTGCAAGTACTTTTACAGTGCTCTTACAAGACAGTTCAAGGATCTTGATCCAGTGAGAATGAGGTAACAGCATTATAGCTCCAGGTCAGGATGGTATGACTTGGAGAAGCTGCAGATGGTACTGATCCCACGTATCCGCTTGTCTGTCCTTCGAGGTAGTACAAGCCGTGGAACTGAATGTTTTATTAAAAGGAGGCTTGGCAAATTGCTGCAGTGCATAAATAGCGTATGTAGGATACACATTCCAGTCATTATGTGGTGGTGGTGGTGGAAGGAGTAAATGTTAAGGTGGTGGACAGGCTGCTTTGCCCTAGACAGTGCTAAGTTTTTTAATAATTGTTGTAGCCACAGTCACCCAGAATGATTACTCAGACAGCAAGAACCGCAGATGCTGGAGTCAGAGATAACACAGTGTGGAGCTGGAGGAACACAGCAGGTCAGGCAGCATCAGGCGAGCAGGAAAGTTGACATTTTGGGTCAGGACCGTTCTTCAGAAATGGGGAGGGGGAAGGGAGCTGGGAAATTAAAAAAAAAAAAAAGGGAGGAGAGGCGGATTTCCGGAGGAAGGAAGACAATTTCCTCAGGGTGGGCATTCTTGGAACAGGCTTTGCAGTGGGGTT